CGTTTCTGTAAGAAGGCAAGTGGATGGTCATGACAGTTGGGATGCTCAATAATAGGCGGTGGTGGTTTCATCCCACAAGTCAAATCCACATTGAATTCGCACGTGGAACAACTATAACGGTATTCCACTAGCTCCTGCCCACACAAATCACAACGACTATTCGAAGATCCCGAGAAATGTGTGAGCAAGAGAGGATTTTCGGGGTGGAAAGGATGGTTGATCTCCGATGGGAGCTCAACGCACTCCTTATGGAACCAAAAACTAGGATCGTTGCAAAAGTAGCCCGAGTGGATGACACCTGTTACTTTGCAGATTCCACATGTATCGACAATAAACCGAGCTGTGGGTAAAAGATTATAACCACGAAAGGGAAGTTCTTCTCTTGATGATGTAGTCATCTATGGATCGATGTATGTGAATGAAGGGTAGTTTGTTTGGTGAGATCTCTAAGTGGAACCGGAAGACATATGTTCATTTGTAGACCAAAAGTATAATTATTATTAGATTAAGTTGTAAAAGAAACAACTTGGCCTATATTTCAAAAAAAGAAAGAAAAATCAAGCCTTATCTTTTCAAAAGTCCTTTCATCAAAACACGATGAGACGACGACTTATCACGAAACGCTGATAAGTCGTGACTTATCTGACCACCGTGACTTTTTAGTTAAATTAATTAAGAAAATTTTCAAATTTGAAGTTTTCTAATCGATTATAAATTTGATATTTATTTTCGATAAAATAAAAAGAATAGAGATTTTAGTGTAGAGATTACAAAAACCTATTATATAAATTAAGGAGTTTTGTCTCCTCTTAGAATGTACACATCAACAAAACAAACAGATTTAAATTAAAACTATTTCCAATATTCATTTAACTTATATTTATTCACTAGATTAAGAATCCGTATATATGTGAATTCTGTAATTTAATCTCTTATAAACCTGTGGAAAAAAAATTATACAGAACAAAATTAGATTACCCGTTAAAATAAATAAAATAAAAATAAAAACGTTGTTCTAAACTCACTAAATGTGAAGCATAACATTTATTCATTAATTTTGATTTTTTGTTATTTGATTTAGAATTACATTTTATCGCATATTTTCAAACTATTAGTTTTTCTTATTTATACTTAAATTAAATGTAGTTTTCTATTTTACTACTCAAACATCTATATTTCAAAATGATGATAAATCTATTCCCATATTTATATCTGAATATTTTTTAACCCCTTT